ATAATCACTCAGACGCTTATATCACTTATAAACTGTATGGCCGTGGCAGGCTTCTTGCTAACTGTTCTTTTATCTTAAATTAACCCATTTTTATACATCTATACCTTGCCACGTGGCTGGTGGCTTACCAGCGTCTTCACATGCTGCTTGTCCTGGCGGTGGCTGTAGTGTCTCCTCCTCAGCCTTCCTCTTCCCAGAATTCTCCTCTCTCCTTGTCCCACCTACTTCCTGCCTGGCTACCTACTTCCTGCCTGGTCACTGGCCATAAGTGTTTTATTTATATAGAATGATATCCACAACAGTAAAATGCCATAAGAATTAATAAAATATTATAGAAAAGATGATCTCATTCAAATAAGGCTACTCATTGATCTTAACATGCTGAATACATCTTGATATAAGTGCAACTATCATAACTTTCTGTCTCCTGCATCGTCTCTCTTTCTCCCTGCTTCCTTTAAAAGTAGTTCAATTTGTATTTAAAGCACCAAAGCCAAAAAAGCAAAGAAATAATGATAAATAATGTGTTGTAGATTATTCAAAATTTTTCTTACCTTGAAGTCTGATGATTCTCACACTTCCATGACCTTATTATGCTGTGGTCCTCTTGCAATAATTGATGCAAGTAAGAGAGGTCAAATAATTCAGTGCAGATAATAAGACACAGGCCAATCAAATACTTTGCCCAAGGTTGAAGAAATAATAAAGGTAATAGCTAGGACTGAACCTAGGACTGAACCCAGACTCTGGGCATCCTTCAGTTATCTTAACAAAGCATTCTACAGAAGGTGAGTCTAACCTGTGGTCTGTAAGTTGCATGGAGCCCCAGTGTGTCTGTGAATGCAGTCAGATACAAGAATCACAATCCTTAAATATCCTGAGATTTTTGTATGTGGTCGGGATGAAAGTGTGTGTGTGTGTGTGTGTGTGTGTGTGTGTGTGTGTGTGTGTGTGTGTGTGTTTTAACTTGAAATATGTTGCTCTTGAATGTGAACTTTGTAGATCGCAGTATCATGCCCCAATATGCCTGCTTGTAGTGGAAAAAAAATCTGTTGGCTGGAGATAATAATTTGGGCATTTCATTATCCAGTTATGAATACATCATTTATAATAATCATTGCATTCTTATGAATAAAGAGAGCATAATCATGTTGTATACCATGGATATTAGACTACAATTGAGGGTATTTTAAAATTTATTTTAACTGACAGTTCTTTTTTTTAACTGACACTTCTTGACAGTTGAGGGAAAGATTCTGTAATGAGCAAGAATAATAACAAATCATGAGGAAATCCTGAAGCAGAAAAAGCAAAGTCCAATAGTAGAAGCAGAATGTAAGAACGTAAGATATGTATCATATATTCCTGTAGTCTCTGGTAATACTCAGATCATTTTCCTCAAAAAAAAAATCCACCAACTTATATAACATACCCTTTAATAACTGGAAGCTTTATACTGAGTCATGCTTATAACACTTGCTTTCTAAGAACCTAGTTAGAGCTACTTTTGCAAAAGGGAATTGAAGAAACAGTAGTTTGGAACAGACTCTATGATATCTCCTCTGGACCCCAAACTTCAAATGTTCTACTATTTAAAATGATAATAAATCAACCCAGACTGAGAAGAATATTTATTATATTTGGAATTAACAATAATAAAACTAAATATTGCCTTCTGCAATATTCAGAGTGGAATTTAATGGAAATAAAATGATCCAGTGAAGTCTGATTTTTCTACTTCTTACACTGTCATATTTTTGGAACCAGGATCCCTCTCAGATTATATTACTTGAAAAGTTGAAATAACTACATTCAAGTGTAAATCAGACTATTTTTCCTGGAGTTAATATCACCACTGTGGCCTAGTTTTACCTCTGTAGTCTTTTTTTTAATGCACTTAGGGCAGTCTGCTTAAATTAAAGAAAGAAAAAAAGAAATTTCTTCTTTCTTCTAGGATGTGAAAACAAGCTCCCTTGCAATAATAAAGGAGTTTGCACGTTACAAATTTCCTTTATACAGGGAGATTGTTTTTTTACATCAAATTCACTCTTTAGTTAAAAACTAAATACAGTACAGCTGTTGATCAATGGACAGCTTTTTCTCTTCATGATACTCTTCTAAATTAAGGAATGAAGTCTTTGTCTCTCCATTATAATTTTTGTGGGTGTCTTTTAAAAATGAAACATAGATCATGAGTGTGAAGGAGAGCCTTAATTCCCTCTGATTTTCAGGAGTCCCCATGCAATCGAGGGTATTTATTGTGTAGCTTACAGACATGTTACTCTGAAAAATTGGACCAAGTGATGGACTTCAAAAAGGAGTCACCAACCACCAACCACAAGAACTACATACCTGGGCTATATTTGGAAATGTCTGTGTAGACAAAGCAACATGCTCTTGGAAGGGAAGTCGTAATGAGTGGTGCAGCAGACAATATCTGGTTTCACTGTCTATACTGATCACATTTACCAAGTAATTGCCCATTATTTTCTTTGCAGCCTAGAGCCTCAAGGCCAATGTATTTTCTTTCAAAGTGAAATGAAGAGTTGAGGCATAGGCAGCATTCCGATGCTTTTGTTCCTTATCCTTCTTCCTTCCAAGTTGTTTTAGCACCCCGAATGAGGTTTCCTTGAGTGAGAGCTCTGGGTAGACAGCAAACTGAGTTTCTCCACTTCATTTCTTGTGTAATTTTAAGCAGTTCTGCGGGTCAGTAGAGCATCATATAAGATGTGCCTAGGATACAGATGTGTGTGTGGGTATTTGGGTGTGGGTGTGTGTGCATGCGCATGTGCACGTGCAACCATATGTGCATGTATCATGCATGTATGAGTGTGAGTGTATATATGGGTATATATATATATATATATATATATATATATATATATATATACTTATAATGGCATGGTAGGATGGGGATATTTTGATGTGCACAAATGAACAAAACAGTTTAATTTTCGATTTGTATTTGAAGTAATTTATGGACTTTAAAGCTCAGATGTTCTTCAAATGTTTGTCCTCTCAATCTCACTGTCAGAGTTCAAGAGAAGTCCTTGGCCTCAGACATTCAGCACAATGAGGCAATTGGCTCCCTAGTTCCCAGTTTGTCTCATTCAGTCCTTTCAACATCCCCTCACAAACTCTTGCTGTGCCCTTCCTCTACTTAGAAACTGCATCACCATCCTACCCACAGGGGGAAAGTTGCAGACTTAGAAGTGGACTTCTCTCACTGTGCCCCACTCCCAGTGGTCTCCTTTGACCATCACCACCCTTGAAGTCACAGCAAGTCACTTATAAATTGGCCAAATTAGGCATTCTGGCATGTTCCAATCTTTTGCCGTGCACTGCTCTGATTATTTGATATATAAAAACCTTCTATTCTCTCTCTCCCCTCCTAAGCTCTCTATTGACACTTGACAAAGTTTCATTAAAGGCTATTAACAAGTTGTTGCAAGGAAGATTTTCTGACTGGAGATGTCAGTCATATGTAATTCCCTAACACTGTGTGCTTGTAATAGATTGAAATCACTAAATATATGTGCACATTATTGTATATAACAATTATATTTCATATACACACATATGCACACACAAGTACATAGATAGATAGATAGATAGATAGATAGATAGATAGATAGATAGATAGATAGATAGATAGATAGAGATAGATAGATCATATGTAGCTTGTAGCCCTGGAACTCTTCTCAAGGGTCTATTAGCTGGTATATCAAAGATATTGTTTAGCTGTCTGAAAGAGCTTTTGTACCAGGAAAAAAACTCATTTTTTTTTACACTTGGCTGGACACTCTACTTTGTGCATATTCTATGCCAGATGTGTCTTCAGGGACCACTTAAGATTTACTTTTGCTTTAGGTTAAAAACAATATGTATGAGAAAAAATAATAACATGACTTCTACCCTTGAAATTTTCATTTGGTTAATTTTTATAGTTTCCAGACTGTTTTGGATGTCTGGAATGGCGACTAAGGCAATGTACAATTTTATACAATATTTGAGATGATTGAAAAGAAAAAAATATCTATACTAAATAATGAATAAGGTTGGGTGAAAAGTAGAATAAAAACTAACACTCACAGCATGAAGATCAATTATCAAATTCATGAGTCAGTTCAACTACAGTTGAAATGCTTGTCTCTTTATAGACTGTCCTCTCCAGAAGGGAACTGTTATGATTCTGATTCTAATGAACTCTTGAAGGACGATCATTTATTATTTTAAGTAAGACCTTATGCCTAGAGGATAGTTCAGGACATGAAAATGCTGACTTAGTCTAGTTCCCTGCTGTAAAAGGCAAAATAAGTGAAATTCAAGTGTGAAGTCACCATATTATTCAAAGTACGATCACTTAGATTAAAGCAAAGAGATAAAAATTAGTCTCCACAGCATAGTAATAAATAAGCCCATGTTAAAGAATTGGCTGAAAATAGGAACGTGGGTAGGCTCACAATTAAAACATGTTTGTGAGTCTCACCTGGAACTTGAGCAATGTTGTTTATTTCATAAGTTTTAAGAAAATGTGAGCTTTGTGTCAAATGACCTGCAAGGTTTTTGTATTTTTGATTGTGAGCCTAGCCTTTAACAGCTGAGCCATCTCTCCAACACATCTGCTGGGTAATTTGAATAAGGATGTGGAAGTTCTAGGCTGGTGATGACCTGAATTCAGTACCTGGTAGCCACACAGTAGAAAGAGAGATTCAAATCCTGCAAGTTGTCATGTGACTTCTACACTGCTCTTTGGCTGGCATTCTACTCTCCTCATATGCAACATATAGCTAAAGTTGTAGGCTGAGGAATTTATATATAAGTGGAAAGGCAAATGATCCATTAGTGGTTACAATGGGAAGTCAGCACAATGAAAATATAAAATGTAATAGGAAAAGTACTTATTGAAGAAAAAATCAACAAGGGGCTAAGAATTTAACTCAGATGGGAAGTGCTTGCATAGTGTGTAGTCCACAGTAGGTCCCTCTAGGTTTAGTTTTCATTATTGTATAAACAAACAAATAAACAAATAACAAAGAGAAAGTCAGTCCAAAGATGGCAAAATGGCTCTTTGTAAGAGATATGTCTGCATTTGAATCCAAAACCTTTGAAAACTAAATTATTTGTCCAAACATACACACACACACACACACACACACACACAT